TTCCCCGCTTTGGCCATCCAATGGGGAGCAATCGGAGATGTGAGTTTCCCCTTTTCTGAATTCATCTAAATCAAGTTTTAGGTCGGTTTAGTTGCAAAAATGCAGAAAGATAACAAGGAATTAGTGATCGGTGGTACTCTTCAACAGAAAATTTCAAGCTGTCTCAACGTCTTGGACCGATTTTTGAACCAAGAAAACCCAGTAGTTTCCTCAATGGTGGTAGCAGAAAAACGCGATAGGAGACTCGGGAGTGGCAGTGCGGTCGATGTTGTTGCCACTATTTTAGGAATCAAAGATTTGAAAACCATCAGTCACCACTCGACTTTAGCCGAACTTGGAATGGATTCAATGATGAGTACCGAAGTTATGCAAATCCTCGAAAAAGATTTCGAAATTTTCATCTCAGCCAAAGAAATCAGAAATTTAACCTTCACCAAGTAACTCAAAAAACACACCAAAACCGAAATCTCATTCCTTCTATTCTAGATTAAAAGAAATGGGCAAAACTCTATCAAACCAAGAACAAAACAAAAAATTATCACAAGGAACCAAAACTTTAATCAATTATATACCCGAAGCTTGTGACGAAACCATCGTAGAAATCCCAAGTTTGGGCTCAAAAACACTCATTTTTGTATTCCCAGGGATCGAAGGTGTGCTAAAATTACTCGATCCCGTAACCAGTAACTTGAAATCCCGACTTTTGGGAATCCAATACTCTTACAAAAACCCCGAAAGTACCATCCGTGAAACAGCACTTAAAATTCTACCATTTATTGAGCACCAACTACCCGAGAAGAAATTCAATTTTCTTGGGTACTCATTTGGGGCTTTGGTGGCGCTAGAAATCGCCCAAATGCTTGAAACGAAGGGCTTTATCGGGAAAATTGTTCTAATTGATGGTTCCCCTCACTACACCAAAGAATCGATCTTGCATTTTGCTCCAGGAGAAACCGAAGCTGAGATCGAGACAATGCTTCTTTATAATATTCTAGGAACGGTACTACCAATCGAAATACTGGAAAAATCCAAAACTGATTTAATTAAATGTTCAAATTTTGATGAACGGATCAATAAAGCCCGTGCTTTGATTCCTGAAGAGTTGACAGATAAGCAAAAATTGGAAAAACAAGCAGCTGTCACACTCCAACAAAGATTTAAATCAATTCGTTGTTACACTTTTAGTGGGAAAAAAATCAAATCTTTTGTCAAGTTGTACAAACCGGAGATTCCCCTAGTCAGTGGTGTGGATGATGATTACAAGTTGGCACAACTGTGTGACAATCAAATTGAAATTATGACAGTTGGAGGCGATCATATGACTATGCTACAACAAAGCGAACTAATTAATGACTTGAATAAAATTTTTGAAGAGTAATTTGGGTTTTATTTCGGTATTTGGTACCACTTTAATGACTTGACTACAATTAAAAATCAATTGTGTGGTACTAAGACTAGAAATTTTGGTTTTATTTCTACTTTCTCAAAGTGGTACTTTTCATTGTTTTATTGAAGTAACCTTTAAAACTTAAATGTTTTTTTTGGTACCACTCAAACCGCAAATTTTTGTGGTACTACTTAAAATAATCGATTCAGAAAACATCATGGTACCATTTTACAAAAATTATTTGAAATTAAAGTACCACAGTACTGCCAAAATTTTGAAAAAAGTGTTGTTTTAGCGTCACATTAATTTAATTTTAAAGTTTTTTAATAAATAATAATAATAAAACAGTTTATGTATTATTTGGTATTTGATTTTTGAAGAGTAATTTGGGTTTTATTTCTCAATTTGGTACTGCTCTAATGACTTGACTACAATTTGGTCATACTTTCAAATGCGGTACCACACTCAAAAAATTGTGTGGTACTAAGACTAGAAATTTTGGTTTTATTTCTACTTTCTGAAAGTGGTACTTTTCATTTTTTTATTGAAATACCCTTTAAAACTTAAATGATTTTTTGGTACCACTCAATCCGCAAATTTTTGTGGTACTATTTTAAATATTCGATCTAGAAAACATCATGGCACCATTTAACAAAAATTATTTGGTATAACAGTTCCGCAGTACTGCCAAAATTTTGAAAAAAGTGTTGTAATAACGTCACATTTATTTAATTATAAAGTTTTTAAATAAATAATAATAACAAAACAGTTTATGTATTACATATTTGGTATTTGGTTTTTAAAGAGTAATTTGGATTTTATTTCTCTATTTGGTACCACTTTAATGACTTTACTACAATTTGTCCATACTTTCAAATGCGGTACCACACTCAAAATCAATTGTGTGGTACTAAGACTAAAAATTTTGGTTTTATGTCTACTTTCTCAAACTGGTACTTTTCATTTTTTTATTGAAGTACCCTTTAAAACTTAAATGATTTTTGGTACCACTCAATCCGCACATTTTTGTGGTACCACTTTAAATAATCGATTCAGAAAACATCATGGTACCATTTTACAAAAAATATTTGATATAATAGTACCGCAGTACTGCCAAAATTTTGAAAAAAGTGTTGTAATAGCGTCACATTTATTTCATTGTAAAAATTGAAAAAATATTAATAACAAAGTAGTTTATGTATTATTTGGTACTGCATGGTAATATACAATAAAGGGTACTATTTTAATGACTTTTTACTACAATTTGGTCGTACTTTCAAATGCGGTACTTCCACACTCGTTCTAAGACTACAAATTTTGGTTTTATTTCTACTTTCTCAAAGTGGTACTTTTCGAAAAACTTACGTCATTTTTTTATTTCAATGTTTTTTTGATACTTAGATCTTCTTGTTTTTCATGAAATAAATCTTTTGTTGGTACTAGAAATACTTCTTAAAACTTGTAATTGTTGGTAAGTATCTCAAAGTAATTGAAGAGTAATTTTGGTTGTATTCAAGGTAAAAAAAATGCGTGTCTTGCTAAATTAAACAATCTTTATAACCATCGCTACTCATGTCCCATCACCAGTCCCATCGCAATGTTTCAAACACCCATCGTCTGGCCCAATGTGGTACTTTTCACCCTTTATCATATTATAGCCCTTCAAGGGTTGTACTACATTGCAACTTTGAAAACTAACTTGAGAACTTTAATTTGGGGTAAGTACCACCAAAACTGGTGTTAACCCTCGTAGCCTTCTTGGTTTTGGTTTTAGCCGGACAAGGGATCACGTCTGGGGTTCACCGTTTATGGGCCCATAAGTCATACAAAGCTAAACTTCCTCTCCGACTTTTTCTATGTCTATGTCAGACCATAAGTTTCCAAAACTCGATTTATGAATGGGCACGTGACCACCGCGCCCATCACAAGTTTAGTGACACCGATGCTGATCCACATAACATCAACCGTGGATTTTTTTTCGCCCATATGGGTTGGTTACTAGTACGCAAACACCCACAAGTTAAAATAAAGGGTCAATTGATTGATTTGAGTGATTTAGAAAGTGATTCAGTGGTACAATTCCAGAGAAAGTACTACCATGTTTTAGCCCCGATTTGTTGTTTTGTGGTACCGACAATTGTACCATGGTACTTGTGGGAGGAAAATTTTTATACAAGTTTTTGTGTTTGTATGTTGAGATATTTGATGAGTCTCCATTTTACTTGGTTGGTCAATAGTGCGGCCCATATGTGGGGGTATAAACCCTACGATAGGTTAGTACCATTGGTACTAATTTCCCGAAAATGATTTTCCCAAAATTGTAGGTCGATTAAACCATCTGAAAATCGTGTCGTTGCAAAGTTAACCATGGGTGAAGGTTGGCACAATTACCATCATACTTTCCCATGGGATTATAAAGCTGCGGAATTAGACACTTACAATGGTAATTTAAGTACTGCCTTCATTGACTTAATGGCACAATTGGGATGGGCATATGATTTGAAAACGGTACCATTGGATGTAGTCAGGAAGCGGGCTTTGAGGACTGGGCAATAATTTTTGTAGTACCAATAGTACCAAATAAAAAGTATAACAAAAAGTGTTCATTTGTTTCCCCAAAATTTTGGTAGTACCATCTCACAGATTTAAACAAAACGCACAAATAAGCGGGTTTTGAAGAGTGAGCAATATTGTATAGTACCATGCAGTACCAAATAATACATAAACTAATAGGGGATAATAATAAATCAAAATCTTTCTCAGACTTTTTTTCTTTTTTTTTGCCTGAGAAAGATTTTAATTTATTATCATCCCCTATTATAATAAGACACAGGAACATGGTCATAACCAACAATAATACATAAACTTTGTTATTATTATTTATTCAATTTTTACAATGAAATAAATATGACGCTATTATAACACTTTGTTCAAAATTTTGGCAGTACCGCGGTACTTTTATATCAAATAATTCATGTGAAATGGTACCATGATGGTTTCTGAATTGATTATTTAAAGTAGTACCACAAAAATTTGCAGATGGAGTGGTACCAAAAAAAACATTTAAGTTTTAAAGTGTGTAATATAAAAAGTACCACTTTTGAGAAAATAGAAATAAAACCAAAATTTCTAGTCTTAGAACCACACAATTGATTGTGAATGTGGTACCGCATTTAAAAGTATAACCAAATTGTAGTCAAGTCATTAAAGTGGTACCAAATAGAGAAATACCAAATATCTCTTTAAAAACCAAATACCAAAGTATACATAAACTGTTTTGTTATTATTATTTATTTATTTATTACAATAAAATAAATGTGACGCTATTACAACACTTTTTTCAAAATTTTGGCACTACTGCGGAACTGTTATACCAAATAATTTTTGTAAAATGGTACCATAATGATTTCCGAATCGATTATTTAAAGTAGTACCACACAAATTTGCGGATTGTGTGGTACCACCTTTAAAAAGCTCTCGTCATTTCCTGTCTATTGAAACAAATTTCCTGTCAATGCGACTTCTACATCCTGAGTAAATTACAAAATTAAAATTTTTGGTACTTTGAAATGGTTTTTTGTGGATTTCTCAAAAACTATAAGTCGCACCGTAAAAACGAAAACATTTTTGGAATTCCCGTAAGATTTTATGTCTATTTTTGGCAAATTTTTCCAAAAAATTTTGTTTTTTTGGGTTGGTTTGTGCACACAGATTTAGTAAAAACCTCATAAAACTTGTATTTATTGTGATTTTGCTCAAAAAAACGTCAGTAATATCTGATTGTAATCAAAAATTTTACGTCAGAGTAAATTTAGCAATTGAAATTTGCCTAGTATGATATAACGTGACAATTCAGCATAAAACACAAAAGAATTGAATAATTTCCGTATATAAATAGCTTTGGTAAACATTTTCCATCCAATTACGATGCAAACCCAAAGCAGTGAGAATTTCAAATACGGCCAATGGCTTTCATCACCCCCTCAGGGCGAGGAAGTCGTCATAACAGGTAAAAAAATCCCTTTTTTTACTTGTACTGACCCCAAAATAGGTATTTCTGGACGATTCCCGGCCAGTCGCAACCTGGAAGAGTTCCGAAACAACATCTACAATAAAAAGGACATGATTTCCAAAGCGGACAAACGTTGGATTTGCAAAAATGAGGAAATCCCTAAAGAGGCAGGGATTATCCCCGATCTTACCCTTATCGATGCTGGATCATTTGGGATTCAATACGAACAAACAAAAAACCTAGATCCGGTTTTAGGGAATTTCCTCGAAGTGGCAATTGAGGCGATTTTGGACGCTGGGATGAATCCCAAAGATTTGGAAGGGAGTAAAACTGGGGTGTTTGTGGGGTATTCATGGTCGGAAACTGAGGCCATTTTAGGGGATAATACCGAAAAGAATCGAAGATATTTGACTAGGTATTGGGTTTTTTTCTTAATTTTGACTAATTTTGAGGTTTAAGTTGCATGAGGAGTTTTATACCGAACAGATTGAGTTATTTTTTGAAATTGAAAGGACCAAGTGTTATTATTGATACAGCTTGTAGTAGTTCACTTAATGCCCTAGAACTTGCTTTCAAGGCTATAAGAAGTGGGCAATGTGAAAATGCCCTAGTTGGAGGTTGTAATCTTCTTTTAAACCCAAATTTGACACTCCAATTTGCCCGTTTTGGTGTTTTGAGTAAGTTTTGTCGTTGCAAAGTGTTTGATCAAGATGCCAGTGGTTACGTGAGGAGTGAAACAGTTGCTTGTATCGTCCTCCAAAAATCGAAAAATGCCAAAAGAATCTATTCTCAAGTAAGTCCCCTCAAAAAATGATTTTTTTCTAATAAAATTTTAGATAATTCATGGTAAAGTCAACAGTGATGGTTTCAAAGAGGAAGGAATACATTTCCCCTCAATGACGATGCAAACCAAACTCCTCGAAGAAGTTTTGCTCGAAAGTGGAGTTTCATCGTCTCAATTCTCCTACTTGGAGATGCACGGGACTGGTACCAAAGTTGGCGATGTTGTGGAAGTTACAGCTTTGGACAATGCCCTTTTACGAACCAAAACTTTACTAATCGGTTCGGTTAAGTCGAATTTAGGGCATGCTGAACCCGGTTCTGGTATGGCATCGATCATCAAAGCAATCCTAGCGATGGAGGAAGACCAAGTTGCACCAAACATCAACCTCAAAACGGTTAAACCGGATTTGGTACCAATCTATGAGAAAAAATTTCAAGTTGTAACCGATGTAACTCCACTTCCTGCCACTCAAAATTACTACATTGGAGTCAACAATTTTGGTTTTGGAGGAAACAACTGTCATGTTATCCTCAAATCGATGACCAAGAAGAGGAAATTTCCAGATTTTGATTTTCCACGACTTGTTTGTGTCAGTGGTAGAACTGAGGAAGCGGTTAGAGTGATTTTGAGTGGTACCAAATACAATCCCGAGTTGTTCACATTGTTTGAGCAAATTTTCTACAAACCAATTTCGAGTCATTTGTACCGGGGATTTGGCATTTTCACCAAAAGTGGTACCAAAGAAGTGGCATTTGAACCAATTGTGGACAAGTCAGTGCAATTTTGCATCAATTTTGGGAAATTCGAAATATCATACACGAAACTTGCAGACTACTTTATGAATTTCCCAGTTTTCAAGAAAACTTTTCTATTGTAAGTACCAAAATTGGTTGGTAGTACCCTATTCGTAAATTTCAGGGTTAATGACTTAATTTCGGGTCAGAATGGTCCAATTCTGGGTCAAATTTCCTTCGGTCTTGGTCTCATCGAAACTGTCAAGGATTTGGGTCTGGAACCCGTGGCCACTTGGGATAATTCAGTGGGGAAACTCCTTTCTGGGTACTTGGAGGGGAGTTTGACCATCAAGGAGGTTATCGAAGGGTCCACCAATGGTATTTTCCCAATTTTGAAAAACCCGAAATTGGAACGTTACTTGAAACACTTGGAATTGAATCGAAACGTTCCATTTGGTCGAAATTCGGTGGTTTTGGACGTTTCAGATTCCGGTTTGGGTCAGAACCCTGATGGGTTTTTATCGATTTTGGGCCGTTTGTACCTACAAGGGTACGATTTAGACCTGCGTGGGTTGTACCCAAAAGTCGAGTTTCCGGTCAGTCGGGGTACCCCGATGATTTCGCCGTTGGTCAAGTGGTATCAGAAATCCTTCTATAGTACCATCTATGGAGATGTCAAATCTGGGTTGGATTATAACTGGGTTATGGATGAAACTACCACTTATTTAGACGGTCATGTGATCGATGGGCGAAATTTGTTCCCAGCAACTGGATATTTGAACATAGTTTGGGAGTATTTAGCCAAACAGTTATCAATGACTACTGATTATCTCCCAGTGGTTTTTGAAAATTGCAAATTTGTAAGAGCGACAACAATTAGTGATAATTTCCTCTCCTTCTCAGTTTCGGTTCAAAAAAATGGAGATTTTGAAGTGATGGCCAATGAGAGTGTTGTTGTCACAGGACGTGTGTCCATTCCTGAAACAGTCAATTTGACTAATTTGCCTCGTTTGGACTTGGAAAATGATCCAAAAATGGTTTTGGACGAGTCTGAAATTTACAAAGAGTTGCATTTGCGTGGTTATAATTACACAGGATTGTTCAAAGGAATTGTTAAATGTAATGTTGATGGTTCTGCTGGGTTAATTCGATGGGAGAATAATTGGGTCAGTTTTATGGATAAAATGCTCCAAATGAAAATCCTTGAAATGGATTCGAGACTTTTGTATGTCCCAATTGGGATCAGGAAAATTTTAATTGATCCTAGAAAACATTTAGAGGAGCAAGGACCAGTTATGAGAGTTTCATCATACCGGGATTGCAACGTTTTAAAGTACTTAACTCATTTTTTTTTTCGATTTTGTTTAAGTGATTTTTTAGATGTGGTGGAATTGAAATTAGTGGACTTGAAGCAAGTCCAATTTCGCGTCGCAAAGCGACTCTCGAGCCGGTCCTGGAAACAAATATTTTCATCCCTAATGATTTTAGCACGGATTTGAGTCAATCAATCCGGATTAACACCCAAATCATCCTCGAGGAATCCCTTGATAATAATTTTAAAGCGTTAGAACTTCATGACGAATCTTCTCTTGATTCATTTGTGATGCCTTTGGTGTTCAATGCCCTTGAAGATATCCCTTTGGTGCAACCAAATTTGGTTATTTCGACCAAAAAAGAGATCGAGGAAATCCCCGGTGTGAAAATCGAAGATCACGCACTTTCCCCTTCGAGCAATTTTCTTCTAATTGTTGGGTCAAAATTACTCCAAAGTGCGACTGTTCTTAATCAAGTTTTGGCTGCTTTGAGTCCCAATGGGTTTGTTTTGAGTCGCGAAAATTTGGACTACGTGGTGGAAAATTCCGAGAAAATTACAATTCTGACCCAACATTGCA